CAACCAAAGTGGGCGTAGTTTGCGATGAAAATTTATAACTCGGCTCCAAGAAGTCCCGGAGGCCGGGAAAAAGGTGGATAGAGGTGGGTGGAGGAGTGGAGGCCAGCTGTCATCGGTGGGCGGGGCTTGACCAAAGTGGGCGGAGTTTGCGACGAAAATTCATAACTCGGCTCCAAGAAGTCCCGGAGGCCGGGAAAAAGGTGGATGGAGGTGGGTGGAGGAGTGGAGGCCAGCTGTCATCGGTGGGCGGGGCTTGACCAAAGTGGGCGGAGTTTGCGACGAAAATTCATAACTCGGCTCCAAGAAGTCCCGGAGGCCGGGAAAAAGGTGGATGGAGGTGGGTGGAGGAGTGGAGGCCAGCTGTCATCGGTGGGCGGGGCTTGACCAAAGTGGGCGGAGTTTGCGACGAAAATTCATAACTCGGCTCCAAGAAGTCCCGGAGGCGGGAAAAAGGTGGATGGAGGTGGGTGGAGGAGTGGAGGCCAGCTGTCATCGGTGGGCGGGGCTTGACCAAAGTGGGCGGAGTTTGCGACGAAAATTCATAACTCGGCTCCAAGAAGTCCCGGAGGCCGGGAAAAAGGGAGTAGAGGTCGGCGAAGGAAAGGAGGTCAACTGCTATTAGTGGGCGGAGCACGCACCTAAGTGGGCGGAGTTTGCCAAAAGTGTCGTAATTTGGTTCCAAGAGGTCCCAGAGACCGGTGAAAAAAGGGGTAGAGGTCGGCGAAAGGAAGGGGGCCAAATGCTATTGGTGGGCGGGGCACGCACCGAAGTAGGCGGAGTTTGCCACGAGATTTATTGTCCGGAAGCAGTCCGGAGACCGAGAAAAAGAGGATAATGGTTGACGAAGAAAAAAAGGTTGAAAGCCGTCGATGATGGAGCGGATAGAATTTAGCTGAGAATTCAGATATTCGTAGTGTATCAAGCCAAATTTGAAAATTTTCGTCGCACCATCAAAATTCGCCGCAGATCTGTGTTGCGCGCGCAATGCGTGCGGCGCCAACTGGTATAAATAATTTACATTTCATGGATTTTCCGAACAAGTGTCGTCGTGTTGGTAGTAGACCATCGAGAGAACGTAACTTACGTCTCCACAGATTCTTGTCGCGTCCCGAAATGCTCCACTGGATCATCCTCACTCGAAGTACACAGCCACATTCCTTTCATTCGCGAATTTGGTGAACAATTCTGGCCATCAGGCCTCCTGTCATCCTGATGTTATGTCTGCACAGAGTCTGTGTACCCGACAAGATTTTCTCGGCATGAAGGCAGAGACGCAGACGGGCAGCGGACGAGCCGCAGCGAGACGTGCTATAGTACACTCTTTTTAACTTGAAATCTCAGCAAGGCATATTGACACTCATATACCTTCTCGCCACGCGACGCTCCGTTCTTGTCAGGTAACTGCAGGGTCGAGGTTTTTGAGGCGTACTTGAAGGTAGGAAGGGCCATTGAAGAGGTGCACTCCAAGCCACCGATAATCATGCATCCTCTCTATACTACTCCCTTCCTGTTGGAGAGCTCTGAAACTAGGCTCGTCTTCGATTTCCGATCCATACACATGTAACTGGTACTATTTGGAGAGGTTTGTTCCGTTGAGGGTGAATGGGCTATCGGATACCATCTCATTTCCCTAAACTACCCAAGCGACGTGATTGGTTGAAACTTCTTCGGAATAGAAAAGTGGTCTGTCCTGTTGAGTACCCAGAAAGCAAGTATTTTCCACAATTAATTTTTATCAATTATTTTCCTTGCGAAATTCAAAACAATGTAGTGTTCTGCTTGGAGAAGTATAACGTGCTTCTCAAATATTATTGTGGAAATATGTGTAGTTCGGCTTTGCTACACTTTTTTACTCTCCAACCCACATCGCGTCACTTACGCAGTGACGAATGGCTTAACAATGTGTAGGAGTTGTAGCTTCCAGGGCGAAAAGTTGACTTCACCCACCAATATGATCACAACAGCTAACATGCATCCTGAAGACTTTTTCATGACTCCAACAATGATTAAGATGATCAGCACTATCTGGAAAGTGCTGCATAGGAGAAAGGTTCATGAGATTCAGAACAAATATGAAAAACAAACCGCTAATATGACATTGATGGGTTTCGCATGATTATAGGAGACGAGATCTATTATTGTAATAACGATCAGTGCTACAGCGACAATAATGAGGTACGTCTGCAAGGTGAAATGATTATCTGCAATGTTTTCGACGCAACTCTGAATAGCAGTATGTGTCAAGCAAGCCTAGCCATAAAGGAGAGCGGTTTTAGGGGTTTGTTACCGCTTTACCCGGGGAGTTTGCTGAAAGGACTTCCACCACGTGAACAAGGATCGGGCATGTAATGGGACTGGAGGTTAAACAGTGAGCCATTTCTCCTCGGAATTCGCTCGAAATTCTTATACAGCGGCGTTTTTGGGTAAATCATCGCGTCTAGACGAGCTAAACTTCTCATGGTTACAGAATTCGTATTTTATCATGTAGGTTCTTCTTCTGTGCGTGCTCATTCATGTTTAGGGCTTTCGAACAAAAGATAACCTTTTTGTGCTGAAGTATGCAACGCTATAAGCAATGCGAATCAATACAAAGGCCCGTCGCGCGGCAAGAAGGCAGAGTCGGCGGACGAGTTGCAGCGCGTGATGTGCGATGTAGGACGTGCAGTGGGACACTCTATTTAACTTGACGCGAAATCCCTATAGTACGCGCGCGACTCGTCCGCTGACTTTGCCTTCTTGCCGCGCGACGGGCCTCCTGGGGGGTACCCATGAAGTGTAGTAATGGCGTCCTCCAATAGAAACTTCTGTTCTTTTTCTGCGTCCTTAGAGCTACTTAGCAGAAGGAATGACATCTGGGTTTTCCGCAACGCCTTTATACAGTCATATCTGGAACACTGCCAGAAAAAAAGTAATTCTCTGATTGACCTTCTTCGTAAAATGCTGTGAGGTCCATTCAACCCTTTGGTGATCTTTATCTACTCCAATTATTCGGAACCATTTTCAGTTCAAATCAGACATAGACTAGCGAGTGATAAAGCTCCCATCATGGCCTGAGAGGTTTATCGCCCACCAGGCCAGGGTATATCGGGGAAGCTTTTACCCATTCGGATATGGTTGGGGAAGACAGAACAATCAAGTTTTTAGTAGCGTCGATAAGTTTTATTTTTGTTTTCTGAAATTCTGATATGTGCACTGTGAATGGTTTCTGAGTTAATGATCTTTGAGAGATCGAAGAAAAAAAGATGGTGTGTCGCGGCTGCCCCGGATTATTTGTTTTCCCTCGAAGGCGTGGCTGCTAACAGGGAAATTTCCTACTAGAAGTGCGCTCTTTACAGTTGGAACGCCCTTCTTGCCATTTCATCAAGATATAGAGAAGAAACTCTATGGGTTAACGGCTCTTATCAAGGGCTCAGTGGAAATGCATAGAATCCAATGGAGGTCTAAATGGAATTTCAATTGTGCTGGCGACGAAACGTAGAGACCAAAACTGCTACGTGAGCTTCGATAGCGAAACGGGAGCGGTCAAAAATGATGAAGAAATGCAGCGTAAATACGAAAAGGAGAAAAATCTATAAGCAACAGTAGTTTTGATTCTTCTTAAGCTTTGTCTGTAGGAGTTAATGGCTAGCGAGACCACGAGTATGACACCCACTTTTGAAACAGAAGCCATTGAGCGTCATTTCGGGCCACAGCTTTACTTTTGCTGCTTTTCATGTCAACTTCGACCGCTCACAACTTGCTTGAAAAGATTACGTAGCATTTTCGTTTTCCATATTTGTGACTAGTAATCTTCACTCTACCGATTCACCTAAGTCCTTCACACTGAAAGGCTTCCCTGGTCAGAGAGGAACCAAACCGTTTCGTTTATCTTGAATTCCATATTTACATTTTTCTTAATATTCGTATACTTACTTCGTTATCGCCGCATACGCCATCACTTCCTGCACGGGCTCTTCCTGGAGTTCTGTAAACGACCTGATTCAATGATTGCAAAAAAATCAGTCCATAATCCCACCAGTATCCCCTAAGGAACACCACTACAGTAGAATACCTAGCAGTTGCGCCAGCGGTCGGTTCATTCTCTCAGCTCCATAACCGCTTCATACTGGCGGTGGTGAACGGGAAAAAGGCTATCGTCAC